ATGGAATAATTTCACTGTAAAATCAGAAACATAAAAACGTAGGGATGTGAATTCCTGAAACTGGAAAGGCTTTACCAGTATAATTGAAGGTATTGCTTAACACACGAAACTCCAGCCTTTTCTTTTGGTTCAGTGAGAATTCTGTAGTGGGTGTGAACTGTTCTTCTCATGATTTTAAAAAAGAAAAAGTAGTGTCCTTCCTTTTTCCCGTGTAAGAAAGATTGCTGGTTTCAGCAAAGTTTCACCATTCAGGAAAGGTACATGTTTACATTAGTTAAAAAGTCTTTATAGGGGACCTAACTTTAAATCCATGTGTAATTGCCCCTCTTGCCCCCAGGTAAAGTCATATTCATATGCAATAGAACTAATTTTTTTTTTTTTAATCAATGTGATTCTTCTGCAGTTATGACTATTGAAACTTGTAATTCTTATTTTCTAACCCAAACCAGAGTTCTCAGTCCAATTTTTTTCAAGATTCCTGTAACGTGCAAGGCAATTTCCTGTCGCTTTTTAACTTTGGAAGCCTTGCAGTTTAGTAAACCAATTCCAAAACAATCAGGATATATTTCTAAATGACTGTTACAAAGAAACAATCATGTTGGAAAATATTTAGGATCAACTCTGGCTCTGCAGTGGGTTTTTCCTACGTCTGGATATTGTGTCAAAGTGGAGTCCTGCTGACCTCAGGGAAACTCCATAAGGATCCCCATCAGGCTGCATTTATGTGCCAGAGAATTGGTTCCTTGTTCTGGTACCTGATCTCTGTTAAGAACTTTTTGGAGAGCCCTCCAGCTTTATTTTGCCTGTGTACCTGGGTGTTCTTCCAGTGGAAAGCAGGGTATGGATGAAGGGCTTGGAAGGGCAGGGACTCACGTTGGCCTCGTGTGCACCACGGAATTGTTTTGGTATTCAAAATACAGCCAGAAGCCAGACCCACAGTGAGGAACTGGAGTTCCCAGTTCCTGTGCTTCCAGAGTAGCTTCAGGTTTATGGATATTCTAGTGGAGTGAAGCCACAAGGACTTAATGCATTAATAACATGGATTTTGGTTCTGGAAGAATTGGAAGTTCATCTTCCTGACTTTATGAACTTGACAGCCCACAGGATGAAACAAAGCCTTTCCAAGGGATGGTATTTGCACTTAAACAAACAAAAATGCAGAACGCCCCGGTATTTTGAAAAATTGGAACACATGCATTTAATTGTAATTAAAGATGATTTCACATTTATTTTCTGAAGCTGAGTCGTCTTGGGAGAAAAAAAATAAGTATTGGTCTATGCAAGACACAAATGTCAAAAATGTGTGAATTACCCATTTTTAGGTGCTGTATTGTTGTTGTCTTTCTGACTTCTGTTACTTTGATTAGTCTTTTCAACCTTTCAGCCTTACATTCAGCTTAGAGTTGAAAAGGCAAAGTGTAGTTTTGAAATCCTGTTGGAAATGTAACTACCCTTCATTCCCCCATGGAAATCTCGCATGTTAAACAATTAAGTGAAATGTTTTTGGTTTCCTAATAATAAATCCAGACTCTCACCACCTCCTGAAAACAGCATATCCATGAACATGCACGTTTAATTGTGGTGTGCAAACGATTAAATCATCAGCCTTGTGCTAGGGGCACTTTGCTCTTCACTCTTCAGTGCAGCTGAGGAGTAAACAGGTTCATTTTGCCAAACTCAGTGTGGATTCCTTCCTCCCCTTACCCCCTGCCCTTGGCATGCTAAACACCCTCAACTAGGTTTAATTTTCAAGGCCTAAAGTAACCTGATCATCCAGTGTGTAAAGCACAGTGAAATTGCCACTGAGGTGCTTTTAAGTGATTGCCCAAATCAGGTTATCTGTTCATTCTTGTCACCTGGAAATATAAAACCTGCTCCTTTTTCATGGCTTAGATCTTTAGGACCTGCTGAGCGGTCACAGCTGGTTTTGCCAGAGAAAAGCAAGGTGTGGGAAGGCAGTGAAATGCCTTTCCAACCTTGTAGGCTCCTGTAAAGAGATGTAGTTCAAGTTAATAGAATCCAGTGTTTTCAGGTCGTGACAGAAGTGGCCCATAAATCTCTGCATGGGTTTGGCAGCGCTGGGTCTGTACAATCGACAATCTTTAAAGTGTGAACCCTGTAACTTTTCTGTCCTTGATTGTTTAAGGGATTTTTGAAGCAGCTGATCTATCAAGGGATAAAATTAAAAATGAGAATATGCCTCATGGATGATTTATTTTTACACTGCTGTTCTCTGTGAACAGAAAAAGCACATTTTTAAAGCAAAGCATTTACATGACTTTTAACAGTGTTGTTTGGCTGAAAGACAAATATGTTTTCAAGAAATCTTGAGCATAGTTTTAAACTATTTAACCAGTTCCTGGCTGGGGAAAGTCCTTGGCCTTTGTATTTGTTTGGGGCTTCTTGTTTATGCAAATGAAGAAAAATGTTTACTAGTTCTTACCAGTATGGGGATTTTTATTATGCTTTTGTAACGCAGGAGCAGCTTCAATGAAAGAAAGAATTAGCAGGTAAATAGTCCATAATGTGTGTGACTTTGGGTGGTTTGTTTTGTTTTTTTTTTTCCTTGTTGTTGTTTCAAAATTATTAATTAAAATGGCATGGACAGCAAACTTCCAGTAATGGTTCCAAGCACAAATGCTAGTGACTTACTTGAAAAGAGCTCCTCTCTGCCAGTCCCATGTGTTAACTCGTTCAGACGGATCGCAGTGCATTTCTGGAATTGCCATGTTCTCCTAAATCAGAAATCTTCAGGAAAGGAGCAGCCTCTTAATTACAAGGCCATGATTCTTCTCCAGCAAGAATCTCAGACTCATTTCACCCAACGTGTGAGTCTTGCTCAGCAAAGACCAAGTCAAACGTGGGTGATCTGAAGAGAAGAATTTACTCTGCTTAGCCCAGGAGCGTTGGTTATTCCTACACTCTCTCTTCCCCAGCTTCTGGCACGGTGAGATCCACGTGTGCCTCCCGAAGGGAACAAGTCCATAGCCCGGCACACCCCGAGAAGGGGCTGTGTGTGACTGCACTGGCCACAGCTGGTACAGCCTCCAGGTGCCCTGCCTTGCTTAGCAATCTGTGTGACAGATCTCCCTTTACCCTGGGGAACGTGCAGTTCTAATAGAAGC